TTTACCTTTTAATTATGGACCAGCTGTCGGCCAAATGCCGGTGCATTCTGACCATAGCTGGTAAATGTGTCTCATCTGTCATCTATATTAGCAGGCGGTGAGCTGTCCTTTGAAGGTCGGAAGCTATTTTAAATATCTAGTTGAAGATAAAAAATCTTTTTGTGGCATGTCCATGATCAGAAGTCCTTTCCTTTTATGAAACAATGTATTTGGCAAGTGGAATTATGACTTAAGTAGAAATACAGCCAAACACCATGTAGACTGAATGCTTTTGTCAAAAAGAAAAAAGGAATGTGCTTGAAATGTTTTATTATTCCTATTATTTAGCCCTTGCAGAGAAAAGAAGATATAAGATAAGATAAGAAAACCTTTATTTGTCCCACAATGGGGAAATTGCAGTTTGCAACAGCATACATAAAGGACAGAATAAAAAATAACAACTTTTAATGTTGCATTTCAATGTTCACATTGTCACCCAATACTTTACCAATTAACTTTAATAACTATAAAAATAATGAACTTTCATTTAAAAAAAGGTTCTTTTTATTTATTTTCACATGTTTAACTATGTTCTGTGTCAGAGCTGGTGCCTTGTGTCACGCTGGCCCAGTTTTTGCGCTCTGTAACAAATGTAAGTAGGAAGTGGGTCAGTTGCAGTGTCTGCTGTAAAGTGCGTTTTTACATGTCAGCAAACTTTGAATGTGTACACAGTAAAATGAAGGATGTGTCTGCAGATAAATAAGCAGTGTAAAACTATTTCCTTTAATTGTCATTTGTATACTTACAGGTAAGAGTAATGTGATATAATTTCTTGAAGATACAGTTTCCATATATTCCATGTTGTCGCCACTAAAAAACAGAAAGTGTAGGTAGACTGCATTGATTCTTAACATAGAACAGAAACCACAATAACCCTGAATAACACTTCTCTTTTCCCTCCTCAGCCAATCCTCTGGGACTCCTCCTCGATAACCTGATCTCTCCCCTGGTGGCTAAAACACCTGCACAAATCCCAGTCCTGGTGAGTTGGAATCAGGAAAAAGAAAATCTGTGTTAAAAAAAGTTAAACCAGAGCCAAAGGAAGAGTGAATATTGGACACAAACCCCACTAAAAATAATGCTGTTGTTGCTCCTGTTAAATAGGCAACTGTTACTAACCAACTAACAAGTAGAGCCGATATATCGGTCAGGCAATATTATCAGGAAATGTTATCAGTCTATTTTCAATTTAGAAATGTACTCTATCGGCCGCCATATCGGTAATCTGTGAATGTATCCCCTCTAAAACTGTTACTGGTCTCAGAAGTCTGATATCGGTTGGGCTCTACAAGTTGAAAAAATATATTAGGACAATGTTTTTCTGACCAACTGCTGCTGAACAATTAATGCAAAAAACATGTCAACATGTACAGCACATTTTTATTTTCTCTCTGTCTACTGTGAACTGTCCAATGAAGGCAAAACTGTCTAAAAAAACAAAATCACTTGGCCTAGGATGAAAGGATTTCCACAGGGCATTGTGGGATTGCAGCTGCTAATACAGAAAACTGCAACAGCTGAAATGTGTGCGTCTGTGGCTGCGGCCACCTCACCTGCTAATGATGATAAATTGTCTTTGATTTAAGGTGCTAACATCCATTTATCATCAAATTATGTGTGTTTCTTCCCTCCTCCAGCTGCTTGTCTATGCGGCCCCGACATGCATCATCTGTTTCCTAGCAACAGTGGGAATACGGAGCAGTTCCCCCCCCACGCCGCCATCGGCGAGTGCTGAGACCTCCGAGCCGTTCTTACAGGGGCTCAAACTGGTAAGGAACCAGGAGGGTAGAACATACAAACCTGCAGGTAGAGGCAACATAGTACAGGCATCAATCATAGATTCTACCTACTTTTGTGAGGCAGACTCTGGTTGGACATTCTGTTAAACCTCTAACTCAGAATCTAACTTGAAGCCGCAGTTGCATTTATATAAAAGTCCATACATAAACAAACAGAGGAGGAACATCACATGCCCCTCTTTTACCGAAGTACCAGACCCACAACCCTGTAAAGGATAAGCCGTTATAGATATTGGATGGAGGGGTTGATGGAATGAAATGCATCTAAAATAACTGGTAAGGACTTCAACTTCAATTATCTTTTGAAAACCTTTAAAAACAGCGAAGGCAAAAACACTCAAAAATAACATTTTCAGATGCTCTAAAACAACGTCCCTGCTTAAAATGGAAAACTTTTTGAATATTCAGAATATCCACAGATCCCAGTGCAAAGTGTCCTATAGTTCAGTCAGAAGAAACTAATCCTTGTTGACAAATAGCACCTCCTCAGCAGTACATCTGAGTTTGACATATTTTCACACGGCACCACAAACTGATCTGAATGCTAACTGAAGAAAACACAACTGTCAGACACACTCACATTCTGAGCTTTACAAACTGCATCTCTACTGGTTTAATGTCTGCTTTAACTTTAACATGGTTACCAGTGGGGGGAAATGTGTCAGCCAGCGAGGTGAGACACAAAACACACCACACGTGAACATAAGCTATATTACGTATGTAAACCATGCTTGAACCCAGCACACAGGCTCAAATAAAATACAGCCTACACTGAGTGACAGTAAAACCTGGGTACATCTAATCATCCTCACTGGTAGCGACTGAGCATACATCTTTTCCAGCAACGTTTACAACAACCAGAAGCTCCAGGGTCACCTCTGGTGGTCTGAGGCTGCCTCGAGTTAATGAGGGAGGGGAAATGTGCTTCTCGTGTGTTTTTGTATGTAACAGCTGTTCTCTTGTGTATATACAGCCCCTCTCTTACAGTCTTTACTTTTTTAAAATTTGCAGCATAATTACTTATTCTCACTTTATTTTCACTTTTATTGCTCCTTTTATGTTCTCTGTGCGTAAACTTTGGTTCCCCTTGCTGCCGCTGACCTTACCTCCCCCCGTGAGGATTCTCTCACAAATCCCTTTTACGTGTTTCCTCCGCAGTTACTGAAGAACAAAGCCTACCTCGTCCTAATGATGTGCTTCGGTTTGGGCATTGCTGTTCTCACATGCTTCTCCTCACTGCTGCAGCAGATCCTGTGTGTGCAAGGATACAACAATGTAAGTACACTGCAGGATAACATTGAATTCCACAGAGAACAGTAAGGTGTTAATTGGACCAATTAGTATCAAATGTAACAGAGAAAGCGTATTTGTTTGTGGATTTACAGTGTAACGTTACACAGTGATGAATTATGCATTAGTAAACCGTATCAGTGGGGATGTTGGGAATAAAGACCATGGCTCAATATATAAACTGATTATTTATTTCACAAGTGGGCAAATATCAGTATTGACAGTATAAAATGATACGCAGTAACTGATAGAAGGGAAAGGAAAGAAAACAAAGTCTGGTCTTTACATACTGGAAGCAGACTGACAGAGACTGAACGATCTATAAAATGTCTTTGCCGCAGAGCTTCGCTGGCCTCTGCGGCGCTCTCTTCATCGTGTTCGGCATCATTGGCGCAGCGGCTCTGGGTCTCTACGTCGATAAGACCAAGAAGTTCATGGAAGCCGTGAAGATCAACATGACCTTCGCCACTCTGGCATGCATCGCCTTCTCATTGGTGAGAACACAAAGCTCGACACCCGTTGGTGTTTCTGGTTTATTGAAAGGAGAGTGACACACTGGCTCCACTACTCTGAGTGATTAATCAAGGTTGTGATGGCTGACAGCAGGAGAACCACTGGTTATTAGTTTATGAACTGCAAACGTCTACTCACTTTTTAATGAAATGTTCGTATTAATTTAAAGTAACTTAATACTGTCCCATTACCTGATAGATCCCCTCCAGACATGTATCAGGACTCATATACAAATAGACCTTTTTCACAGCGGCCATTTTGACATGAAATGGTAGGGTCAACACAGGTGTTACAAATGCTACTAGTTAAGGATCCATTTAGTGTAGCAGAGCCCTTCCAGTGAGCCAACATGCACAACAACAGCACCCTGCCTCTGAACTGGAACAATAGAAATAAGGAATTCGTAAAAACAGTGGCAAGAATCACAGAAAACATCAGATAATAAAGCTTTAAAATATTAAATAGGGTGCAACACTCAAGTTTAAGCACAGTTTGCACTTTTTATTTAAAAGGTGCATAGTACCTG